AAAAACGTTTTAAATGCTTGGAATCGTTAGAGCACCTTCTAAATCGTGTGCAAACCTAGTTTGGCTTTGTTCTGAGTCTTCGTTAATTTTTGTGAATTTTTTCCTCCCCCATTGAAAAGCATTGAGCTCAACTTTTGACAGCTGTCAAAAGTTGGTTTCAAAGCTTTCCTATGGGGGGAAAAAAAATTCACAAAAATTAACGAAGACTCAGAACAAAGCCAAACTAGGTTTGCACACGATTTAGAAGGTGCTCTAACGATTCCAAGCATTTAAAACGTTTTTGAACATTTTAAGACACTTTTAAAATTGAAAAAACAAACATCGTTAAGTGAAACAGGGGACCTAAAAATGCATTCGCTATGTGAAGCATGGTCCCGAAATCGCTAAGCGAAAATCACCCATAGGAAACATCGTTAAATGATGCATAGAATTCTTTAAAAGAACCCATCGTTAAGCGAAAACATCGCTAAACGAGGCAATCGTTAAGCGAGGCACCACTGTATCTAGATAAAGAGACACTTAGCTACAGTAACTCTGCAATCATAGATCGCCTTCCTGAATACAAAAAATAGAACTGGATACTAACATAAATTTGGAAGTTAACTGTGACAACCACATTATACCTGTTAACTTTCCTAAAAATAGAAGCATTCCAAGATTTAGAAAGGAGATCAAGTTTACAATGTAAGAAAGGAAATTCTGGTTTGTTTCAAATCCTTCTCTTGAACTTGCCTACCTCTCTTGAAGAGACTAACACATTTTAGCCATGCTACAAAGCCCCATTCTGCACCAAAAAAGAAAAAAAGGGGGAGGGATGGGGCTGCATAAATGCAGAATTACTTCAGATTCTAGATGATTTTGAGAGAATGCATAGGAATATCCCAAAGCCTGGCAACCACTTTTGTTCATTTAGGATACAGTAGGAGCAGAAAGAACATCTTGTTTGTTTTTCATTGTACATTTTCAAGCTCAGTTAAACCCATTATATAATGTATTTTTAACAATTTTATTTTAGTCAAACAAATTTAGACATAAAATGTGTTAAATAACTTATCTCTGTCAACTACTAAATAAAACTGTCCCCAACAAATAATTTGCAGGAAAAAAATTAGAATTAAGAGGTAATTTCACATTCAAGACTTTATTTGTAATACACAAGTGTCCAGAATGCATTTTTATTATTTCTTTTTCATTCATGTTTAAAAAATAACTGCAAAACATTCTTTCATGGTTTTAGAAAATGGCATTTGAATTAATGGAAAGTAATTTTAATTGCCTGTCAGAAAACTGACATCCAGCTGTTTCTGCCAAAAAGAGATACTTTCCATAGGTCAACATTCTTTATATAATGAATTTACCAATAATTAAAATAGCAGGCTTTGTAGAAATAGATGGAGGTGCCAGGGAGGAGTTACGCGGGGGGGGGGGTATCCCTGAAGAGTGCCACAATAAATGGACTGAAGATTAAAAAGCCTTTTCTCATGGTAGGTTGCTGTCAACACAATTTTGTCTTCATCACTGATCTTTCCCTGCTGAGGTTCAATACTACGTATATTTGATTTAAAAGGAAAAAAAAAGAAAAGAATTTCATCCTTTGAAAACATCCTTGCTTGATATCAGTTGAAAAGTATCTGGACAGTATTTCACATATGAAACAAATATCTGGTCTTAACCACAAGGCTTCTACTTATGCAAGACACACAGTGAGATACACACACAAATACGTACGGTATCTGTGCATGTTACTTTAAAACATAAAACATCCATATAAAGGGCAACAGATTTGCGGAAATATGTTTGGTTTTGTTCATCATTATTAAGAAAGAATAATTAAAAATTGTGTTGGGTAAGCCCATTCACACACCTGAGTTTCAACCTGCTTTATCCTTCATTTGTAGGGAAATGATTTTCATTTAATCACACAAAAAAATAAAACTAAATGTTACTAATAGCTTCAGGAGGAACTAAAAGGCAGGGTGGATAAAAATCAATGCTTTTTAAATATCGATTTGCTAAAGTTTAAATTATTTATAAAATCAATTTTTAAAAAAATAAAAATAAATTCTGATTTAAATCATATCCACCCTGCTAAAAGGCATTAAAAATAGGCTGGTGATGTATAAATTTCCCTGGATCACTTTGCATGTTTTGGAGAATGCTAAAAATAACATCCTTCAGAATTCTCTGTTCCTTCCTCCTTACCTCCCACCTTCTAAACTGCTGCATAGGTAACAGGCTGGCTCAATTGGTTAAATGCAAATGTCTTTGCAGGTAGCCGCTTTAAGCATTCTCAGCTGTCAATGGGAAAATCTATGTGTATTATAGTATTAAAGTATTTTATGCATTCCAATTTAGAACTTTTCCCCAGTTCATTACAAAATAAAAAGAACCCTGATCATTCTGCCAATTGGCATTTTGGAAACCAGAGCAGAAATCTACAAATTTAATTAAGATAGTTTTGGGGAGAAATAGGGTGCACTTGGTACTAGAAGAAGGAAAAATAAAGAAATGGAAAAACTCTGCCCGATATTTTATTGACTCGATTGTGGCCCTTAATGGAGGGAAGTGAGGAGGAACATCTCCACTTAATGAAATTCAACAAACTCTTCCAGTGTCTTGGGGATCTGGTTGTGATAATTGATATGATAATCCTGCACAGCTCGAGCGGCCAGGCACTTCAGACTCAGTTTCATTTGAGTTTTTAGGAGTATTTCAGACACACCAGTGGTACTTTTATCAAGAGGAGTCTTCTTCTGCTTGTTAGTCATATCTGTATGAGCACCAGCCTCAACCAAGCTGATGATGATAGAATGCAAGGTCAAAAAGTCGCTGATGGGCCTGTTGTACTGGACTATGATGTGTAGCGGGGTATTTCCTTCATTGTCCACCACGTTAACATCTGCACCACAATCCAAAAGGAGTTTGGTGACCAGTGCATTGGGGAAGCTGCAGACATCATTTGTATGGAAGTCATCCACCGGTGTGCTAGAATTGACAGCATGGTGCAACAAGCTAGATCCATCTCGTGTCCTGGGATCCAAGTGGATCAAGTTATAAATTTGTTTGTTAATTCGTGACTGTTCTTCTTCTCTACACTGTGTCTTTGTGGAGATGCACACTAAGTACAAGAAGGTGAAGATATTGCATTCATAATTGTCCATGGCTGTGTGGAGCTCAGAATCCTGAGAGTTTTTGACTCTAGCCATCCCTTGCTCTATCTCCAAAACACTACACCTCAAGACACTCTCTATGTCCTTGGCTCTTACTGGCTCATTCAAATGTATCATCTGAGAGAAGACTTGAGCAAATCGGAGAAGATCTTTGTGGGTATTCCTATTACCTTTCTGCCGTAAATGCAAGGCATGAAGCCAGAGCTTGATGCACTGTTCAAACTGCATGTTGTCTGCATAAACAGCACCACGATAAATAATGGGGTGTGAAACATCAATATTGTCTGAACCCAAAATTCGCTCCCGGACAATGAGGCCTTCCATATGTAGGGCATCACGGTCCTGTCGAATAGATTCTAGTTCCTGAGGAGTCCGGCATTCAGTTCGGTTCCCATAAGCTTCTATCTGAGGCAGGACTTCCTTCGCTATTATGTTGTCACCATCTCTGTATCGTTCTAGCATGGCTAAATATAAATAATGATAGGTCTTCATTATATCATAATTTTCTCGGTCATTTGCAAATGAAGCACCCAAAAGTTCCAGAGCCTCTATCCTGCTTTTACGGTCACAGTCAGCATGTGCCAGCAGCAGTTCAACCACATCCGCTTTACAGCTCTCTGCAGCAACTTTTAAAGGGGTCATTCCATGGCCATTCACCATCATGGCAGACTTCCACTTCACCAGTTCTCTGACAATCTCCAAGTGGCCAGCCTCAGCTGCAAAGTGCAATGCTGTAGCGCCACAGTGTGCTTTGGCATTTGGATCAGCATGCTGCTCTAGAAGATAGCGTACCACATCTATATGACCCTTGTAGGCAGCAATCATAAGACAAGTGTTGTCGTACTTGTTGGCGATGCTGATGTTGGCATTGTTCTCCACCAGGTACTTCACAATGTCAAGCCTTCCGTCAAAACATGCAGCACGCAGTGGTGTTGAGTTAGTCACAGTAGTATGGTTGACATTGGCCCCATGACTGACCAGGAGCTTGACAACTTCAAAATGACCAGCCCCAGCTGCACACCAAAGTGCTGTGGCACCATCAATGACATATCTATAGCAAAAGGGAGAGAGAGAGAGAACATTAGAACTAGCCACCTTGAGCCCTTTTAAGAAGAAAGGAAGGGTAAAGTATTTTAAATAAATAAAAAATGGAACTAGTGTGTAGTATTAGTAGTGATAAAATTTATTGTTCCAGCATCAAGCCATACATAAAAGAAAATTGAATGCAGAGCTTCAAGTACATATACTGCAAAAGCCACTAGTGTGAAGTAAATCCAGACTTGCTCAGCGTAAAGAAATACTTAAGAAAAGGCACAGGAGATAGATGCAAAATGGGAGAGTAAAAACGGGCAAAAGAGACACACAAACTATATTTGCAATAGCTGGGCAGGTAGTTCCACGGAAGTTCCTGTGTTGGAAGAGAACATGAGATCTAGAAAAGGCGTGTGTGATTTTCCCAAACACTGATGCAATCCACAACATAAAGGAGGCAGGACGCACCTCATTCATACAATTGCTAGCAGCCACAGTATAAAAGTTCAAGCCTCAACACTCAACACAATAAGAAATCAGGATGAAGCTGTATTCAAGCAATTGTACTAGATAGGACATGTTGGCTGCGATTTTGGAGATTAAACAGGAAGGAACTGAAAGACCGGCACATACCCACAAGCCCAACTTTTCTAGAAAATACCACTTCTTATCCTCACCACATTTCTCTTAAATATACAGTACATGCCTGGGATTGAGGAACAAAAGAGATATGGAAAAACGTTCACTACTGTTTAAGAACATGGGTCCACAGAAGGTATTGCAAGGAATGAGATTCCTACCCTTCTGAGTCAAAACTCTTAGATATCTGTCTCAATTATGAGCCTTCGTGTAATATCTCTATGGCAGTCATTTCGTATTGTCAGTTTATCCAAACCAGTATGCATAAACTTCAGGAACATCCCAATGCTAGCTGGATAAAGGTGAATTAATCTGTATTAACTTGTGATTTATGACTCTCCATAATTTGTTCTTCAAACATTTAAGGTCACAACAATTATAGCTTTATGTTTCATACTTAAAGAGAGCTTATTGGAACAACAATGCAACAAACTAACCTAAGATCAATTAGGAGCAAATCAAGCATTTCTTCAGAGGCTTGGGAGGTAGTTTAACAACAGCAAACATGTGGCTTCTCTGATTTAGATTGATTTGGGGATGTTTTTAAAATTGTTGCTTGCTTTTTGCTTTGAATACAACATATTACATCTTGATGTATTTGTAACTTTCAGGCTGTTCCCAAATGACAAATAAAAAGCCCCTACCACAATTCTCAAAGGTGCCTGTGTGCATACACCAAGCCAACATGTGTAAACGCCACTAAGAATTTCATCACAGACTCTTCACTTGTGGGCTAGGAACGAACTAAAGATTATCAGTTTTCTTACACTAAGCAACTGGATTTCAGCCTATGCATGATTCCTGTACAACCAGTTTTGTTTCCCCTCTTCTGCCATAATTACATATTGTTTAATGACTGTTTTAAAAGGGATATGCTAGAGTCCTCATGTGTAACTCCAACACCACGCCAGGCCTTATCGAAATTACTAGCCATGACTGTCTAGAATTAACAAGGGAGTAAAATTATGCTTCAGCAATCCTACATTTTAAGATCACTCTGGACACCTAATAAGCAACTTTAGCAAAGCAAAACTAATTTATTCACATAGATCTCATTCTGTCAATGGGATGGAAAAAGAGAGAGTGAACTGGAGACAGGTATTGTCTGCTCCTTCATCCCAATATTCACAGAAATTCAATTGTGACTATCCTGTCTGATGTTCTAAGTACTTTCCATGGCAAATAGTAGGCCTTCTGTCTCAAACTAAAACATTCTCATGAACGTAGCTCTCTTCAAATGAAATTGTTCAAGCATTATGTCTAGATCAGTTCTGAGATTAAATTATCATTGTTTTCTATCATAATCCAAGAAAAATTCCTGACTAATTTATCCATGCCTGAAATCCTATTACTATACCTAGTCCATTTCAACAGATGGAGAGAGCCACTGGGGCAGTTTATGCTCCCCTCTTTAATGGTATGTCCCACTGCTCTCAATAACCCAACTCCTCAACGATGTCACAGAAAGAAATTATCAACTGTACCTGGCAAAAGCAGAAATAACCCTCTTACAGAGGATACAAGAAACACACAGGAAATGGTGAGCCTTATGTGTTAAGCAGTCTGTTTAAGAATCTTAATTTTATGAAATCGGACTAAAGCAGACCCTTGGTCTGACCGCCTTAAGAAAATTTAAAAAACATTCAAAACAGCTTACAAAACTAAAAACTTCAGCTTTGTTCTTCAGCACTGAGATAAAAAAAAGGACCTACGTATATGCTGTGATCAATTCAGGGAGAAATAGAAGAGAGAGCTGAAGTGTATCAGAAAAAAATTCAGGTGAGCCCTTTGAGCTATATTTCCAGTTTAAATACTATAATTTGAAATTAAGCCTACACCACTTACAAATCATAAAAAAGAAACCCCCAATAGTAGGCGAAGAGACCCCACGCCTCCAAACATCTCTGGTATCCCCATGTTGAATGCAGACAACTACAAAAGTAAATGCTACATGTAAAGACCTCTCTCTCTGATTAGGAATACTGCTTGACTGGGGTTCCTGCTCACAAACAAAGGTAAGCACTTAGGCTTTCCTTTCTCATTCATCAAGCTAATGCAGAGATGCTACCCAGGGGTGTAGCTCCACTTAATAAGCACAGCACCTTTCAGAGTAACACCTACATAGCTAAGTAAAATTCTTATATATGGTAACATTCATCTGCAGCCTTGAACAACCCTGGAAGTTGTGGCTATCTAGCAGGCTGGACAATCTGTGCCATATTAATTTGGTATTTTAAGATGTCATGGGAGTCTTGTTTTTCCCTGAGGAAAACGTATCTGCCCATACATCATATGGGAAGAGAAAGTTTCTGGTATACACAGTTTTAATATTGTGGGAGGAGGGTACTATGGCAAAATATAATGAATAAGAAATATGCTAGAGACTGAGGTTATAAAACCTTTCATCTGCAGCATACAATTATGACCACTTGGTTAAGTTATCTTAAACATAGTATTAACCGGTACCTTTTGGTATTGGAACTGTTCTTTAGATATGATCCAGCAAGGTTAGGTTAAATAGGTCAGTCCAGGAGGAAAGGCTAGTGTATGGACAATGTTGTCTTGCAGCAGGCAATCTGAATGGCCTTTTGCCTCTTTTGTTTTAAGAGTCTTGGAAAATCATCAACAGAACTAGCACGAATTAATCAAAGTTACGATGTAACCTACTACACTCCAGCAAGTGACATTTCCACAACACTAGCTGTCATGGTGTCACTCTATAGAGCCATTCCATACCCAAGTTCCATTCTTTCTGCCAGGAGAGCCCCTCTCGCCCTTCAGTAACCGGCTACAGGTACCTACCCATCGAAGCGGACTGTGCCAGTCTGTTGGGTCTGGACTCGGTAATGCTCCAGGAGCAGGCGGACAACCTTGGCATGCCCGTTGCGGGCAGCAATGATGAGAGGCGTCGACCGCTGCCCAGCCTGATGGGTGACATAGCCCAAGAGGTAGCGAATGTCGCTCTCGGAGCGGTTGAGGAGCAGGGCGGCCAAGGTGAGGACCCGGCCTTCACTGGCTGCCTTGTACACATAGCCAGCCAGGCTCTCCATGGCTACCTTCTCCTCCGGGGCCCCCCAGTGCCACCCGCCGCCCTCCCCAGCCGGCGCCAGGGCCGAGCCAGGCTCCTCTTCCTCTTCCTCCTCCGTGGCTCTGCAGTGGGAAGGCTCATGGGGGCCGACCCCCGTGGGGCCGGGAGAGAAACCGGGGCTCCTCGTCGTCCTGCCGTCCCTCGCCACCGCCAGAGAGGGTTTCAGGCCAGCCGGCGCCGCGCCCGAGGGATCGATCACCCTCTGGGAGCCCCGGGCCCCATCTCTCCGGGAAGGACAAGGCCCCGCCGCCCGTCCACGAAGCGGCCTCGCTCAGCCCGTGGGTGGGAACGGCCCTCTGGACCACAGGCCAGCGCTTTCGGGCCACTACGGCCGCTCCGAGGGGGGCTCCTCTCTTAAACCGGGGGCGGCATCCCGGGAAGGGAAGGGAAGGGGAAAGGCTCCCTCCGAGCGCCGGAAGGCTTTTGCGGGGCACCCAGGAAGGAAGAGTCCCGCCTCCTCGGCTCTCTGGGAGGCTCGTAAAGCCGAGGGTCGGAAGGTCGCGAGGGACAAGCAGGAGGGCGAGGCGTGAGCGGCGGCAGAGACGGGCCGCCGGGGAGCTTCTCCCTAGACGCTGGGCAAGCTTTCGGGGCCACTCTCGCTCTCTCTCGCTCTCCCTCCCGCTTGGCACTCGGTTCCGGAAGCGGAAGTGGCCTGGTGTTTGGAAGAGACACTGCTGCCCGGAGAATTCGTTCCGGTGTCGGGCATTTCCATAGAGAAAGAGGAAGGAGGGCGGGAAGGGCAGGACTTCTCCTCCTCCTCGGGCTTTGCCCGCGCCTGTTTCAGGAAGGCCCAGTAAAGATGTCGGGAACTGTTTAGCTGCCCCCACAAGTCTCTGTCTTCTGTCTGCGCGCCACCAGCTCCGTCCGTGTCTTTCTGTCCCCATGGAGTGAAGGAAGGGCGGTTAAGAGTACATACAGCCTCCTTCGCCACCCCACCGCCTTGGCCCAGCTTTTATAGCGTCCAGGAAGGCGCTCGGGAGGAGATAAAAGTCCCTGGCCGGCAGAGGCAGGATGGCTCTGTTGTTTCTTTTGCCCCGCTGCAAGGGGAGGGAGCGGTTGCCCATCGCTTGAGGACTTTCTCACTCCTGCCTAGGGAATTTCATTTGGGAGGTCTGGTATTCCAGTCTTTGGCGTGCCAGCCTTTGAGAAGCCCATCCCAACAGTTCGTGAGGTTGAGGTGGTGGCGAAACAAACAAAACAAAGGGTCTTCATCCTGGCTGTTGTGGGCTTTTCGGGCTCTTTGGCCATCTTCTGACGGTTGTTCTTCGGGTGGCTGTTTTTCCTCTTCAGTTGAGAAACTGAGCTTCACAGTTCGGATTTGCACAGTCTACAGAAACTCCAGCCACCACCCACAGCAACAACAAAAAAGAGAGGCATAATCAAAACACTGGTAGACCCTGCAAATCGGACTGTGAAGCTCAATTTCTCAGCACCGAACTGCCCTTCAAGCAAATGGCTACAATTAAAATATAGTATTTAAGATTAGTAACAATGAGTATACAGTGGAAAGATCAATTAATACAATATCAAAAAACATAACATCAAAACACAAAATCCTATAAGGTACAACCCATTTTAAAAACCGCACTTGGCAGCCATGGACTCAGGGAAAGCTTTGCCTGACAATCTGAATGTTTTGTATGAAAGGTTGCCAAGGGTTTCAAGCTCCCAATAAAAGCAACAAAATAACTTCTGACAAAATCAGTCTTGAATTGAAGAAAATGGGAGCGGACTTTTACATCAACTGATTGTGAGTTCAGTTGTGAAAAAGAAAAGAAATTCATGGCCTCTGAATACACTGAGAGGTACATATTATTTAAACATATTTTGTACTTTGCTTTGATTGGTAGATTTCAAAAGTAGATTTAAAAAACATGAAGTTCACAAGTCTGAATTCTTCTCACTATTGCAACCTAAGATATATCACAGAAACTCCAAGGGCCACAACATACCTGAGGTAACCTTCTGCCATAATGAATCTTTTCATTTCTTGAGGTTCTTCTGTTGTATCAGACATGGCTGTTGCTGCCTGCCCTCTTGAGCTTTCCTCTCTTGCACTCTTTTCCTCTATCTGAAATATTGGAATATCAATTTAATACATCGCAACTTACTGAAGGAGACCAAATTTCAGTGGCTAAGGTATTAACAGAACTGCAGTGCCCCCTCCATCTCAAACCTACTTCTAAACTATTAAGTAAGATTCCATGGAGCTATAACTAGCAGTGATACCTAGAGAAACTTATGCTGCCCCTCTGCTACCCTGTGAAGGAAGAAGCTGTACCTTTTGTACCATTAGTAGAGGGAGAATTTGTACCATGCCAAACAGTAATTCTCAAACTAGTAAGAATAATCAATGTACTGTGAGAAACAAATGAACAAAATGACAATCATTAATATTACTTTAAGCACAGTTTCTGTGCAGATATAAATCGATTGACTCTGCATGACTGCTGATCCAGTAGGACTCTGCTGGGGCTACATAGAATGGAAATTGTCAGTGCAAATGCTCCCAGTGTAGAGACATGGCAGCTGAACTGCCCGTCTTCCAGGGAAACAGACATTTCTGTCTCTGTAATCAGGAATCTGAAGCAGTGATGGGCAAAGCACATCAGATACTATTGGGCTACAGCTCCCATCAATAGTAGGGAATGCTGACAATTGCAGCCCATTGATTTCTAGAAGGCCACACTTTGCCCTCCCACAATATAAAATGTTAAACTGTCTCGCCAAATTTGAGAGTTAGAGAAGAGCTCCTAAGACAATCTGTGTGGCATTTCTCTGTTTAGAGTTCCAGAATGTAAATTGCTTTTAACATCTGTATCTGTTTTCTTCTGCCTGCAGAAGACAGCGAGCAGTGGCTTTGTCCCTTTCCTCTCCCTTTCTTCTGATTGCAACTTCTGTTTCTATTTTTTTACTCTTAATCTTTATTGCATTTTTAAAAGAAATTATTAAAAATAAGTAAATAATTATCACAATATTAGGATATAACCCCCCCTCCAGAGATTGCTGCTTTGTCGTGGTGAGGGGGCTTGAGTAATCCAGAGAAGCTATGGCCTATGTTGTGCAGGGACACCCAAGACAGACAGGTCATAGTGAAGAGTTCTGACTAAACGTGATTCACCTGGAGCAGGAACTGGCAAGCCAATCCAGTATCTTTGCCAAGAAAACCCCATGAACAGAAACAAAAGGCTAAAAGATATGACACTGGCAGATGAGCCCCTAGGTTGGAAGGCGTCCAACATGCTGCTGAGGAAGAGCGGAGGACAAGTACATGTAGCTCCAGAGCAAATGAAGTGATTGGGCCAAAGCCGAAAGGACACTCAGCTGTGGACTTGCCTGGAAGTGAAAGGAAAGTCCGATGCTGCAAAGAAAAATACTGCATAAGAATTTGGAATGTATGATCTATGAACCTTGGTAAGCTGGATGTGGTCAAACAGGAGATGGCAAGAGTAAACATTGACATCCTGGGTGTCAGTAAACTAAAATGGACACGAATGGGTGAATTCAATTCAGATGATTATCATATCTACTATTGTGGGCAAGAATCCCATAGAAGAAATGGAGTAGCCCTTAGAGTTAACAAAAGAGTGGGAAAAGCTGTACTCCAAAATGATAGAATGATATCAATACAAATCCAAGGCAGACCTTTCAACATCACAATAATCCAGGTTTATGCACCAACCGCCAATGCTGAAGAGGCTGAAATTGACCAGTTCTATGAAGACTTACAACACCTTCTAGAACTGACAACAAAGAAAGATGTTCTTCTCATTATAGGGGATTGGAATGC